GGGACCCATTGGCTCCTACGGCGCCCCGTCTACAGCCTGCGACAGGCTCCCCATGAGTGGCACGACATGCTGCGTGCTATGCTTGCTGACCTGCAGTTCTTTCCGTCCTCTGCAGACCCCTCGCTCTTCTTTCGTGCTGGCCAGACCCCGTTCTACATCCTTGTTTACGTAGACGACCTGGTCTTCGCCACAGCAGACAGGGACGCACTGGCCTCCGTGAAGGCAGAGCTGCTGAAGAGACACATCTGCACTGACCTTGGAGAACTGCGCCACTACCTTGGCTTGCAGATCTCCAGGGACAGAGCAGCGTGCACTATCACTTTGACTCAGTCACACTTGGTGCGCCAGGTCCTTCAGAGGTTCGGCCTTCAGTTCTTCTCCGCACAGCCCACTCCTCTGCCCCGAGACCACAGGCTCTCCGCTCCAGTTCCTGAGGAGTCTGCAGAGCCCACTGGTTTTTACGCAGAGCTGGTGAGTCGCCTCATGTACCTGATGACTTGCACTCGCCTAGATCTCGCATACCCTCTCAGCATCCTGGCTCGCTTTGTGGCTACAAGCAGACACCGACCTCAGCACTGGTCTGCCGCTAAGAGGGTTTTGCGTTACCTTGCAAGTACATCGGGCATGGGGTTAGTGCTAGGAGGACGCAGGCCAGTGGTCCTTACTGGACACACAGACGCTTCTTGGGCAGACAATGTCGAGACCCTCAGGTACTCGCAGGGCTACTGCTTCAGCCTTGGTTCAGGTGCCGTCTCGTGGAGAGCTACCCGCTCCTCGTCTGTTGCCCAGTCCAGCTGTGAGGCCGAGATCTACATCGGTCCCATGGCGGCACAGGAGCTCCGCTGGCTGACCTTCTTGCTCACTGACTTAGGTGAGTGGCCTAGTTCTGCCCTGGTCCTGTACGTTGACAACAAGGCCATGATCCTTCTGTGTTAGGAGCCTCAACTCGAGGGCAGAGCGAAGCACATCCAGCTGCGGTACTTCTTCATGCGTGAGCTCCAGCAGCGCCGCCAGGCGCGCGTAGTACACTTGGCCTCCGGTGCCAACACAGCTGATATCTTTACGAAGGCGCTTGCGCCTAAAGATCATCAGCGGCACTGTGTACAGCTAGGTCTCGTTCATGTAGCCTCTCACTTGCTAGGGTCTTGACTTTGTACTCAGGCCCCCAAATTGGTTTTGGGTCTGTCTGATTCGTCAGAGTCCACTGCCTTCCCTTGGTATGGGTGTCAGAGTTGCCTCCTTGAAAAAGTCTGAAAAATCAGAGTAGCCTTCAATTTTTTGTCTGACCAATCAGAGTCATAGCCAAACTTTTGTATGAGCCTTTTTTATGGTTCTTCATTAGAGAATGCACTACAATTCACTACATGCACAGAATCAGTCAATATCCTGCATATCTTGCTGCGGTGCTGTCGGCATATCATTATCATAATCTACCTTCTCCTTTCCCTTCCTGCTGCTACAAGACTCGGGGAGGGTGTTGCTAAGGGGCTTCCTCTTCTTATAAGCCCGCCAGATGGAGACCACCTCTTGCCAGTCGGGGTCATACTCTAGCTGCGACATGCACATCAGATCTCCTAGCCTAGTATCCTTGAGAGCCCCCCGCAGCCAACACTTGATGACGTTCTGGCGGGAGAACCCGCGCTCGCACTCGACAGTGCTCAACGGAAGGACAGCCACCGCCACCCACAAGTTGACCAGGTTGGGGTAGCTGTCCCTCCAGTCCTGCGTCTTTAGCATGGCGCTCAGCCCCGCGTGGAATGACATGTCCGCCTTGGGAAGCGCAGCAAGGACGGGAACGAAGTTGCGGAGCTCGCTCTGGGCTTTGCGCTTGTCTATACCTGATCAGACAAGGGCACACAACACAAGGAAATGGAGAAGGGTTGGGTTATCTGAATCACAACACAGGGTTTACGAAAAGACATGTGTCTTGTTTCATATACATTGCGAGAGGGATACTGAAAGGAGTAAAACAAATTTACCTGGCAGAATTTCGTCCCTGTCTTCAGCGCGGTAGATGACCACGAGCGAGTTGAACCACTCGAGGCACTGCGTCCTCCGTGCGTGTCGGTCCCAGTTGGGCGGCCATGTGTCGACGCTGAACAGGCGCGCTCCCGACAGCTGCCGCAGATCGCCTAGGCGCTCGTCGAGGTTGCGGACCAGGCCCTCCGCTAGAGCCATGCACGCCACGACACTCCCATCGTGGTCGTTGGGCCCCGGGTAGTCCTCTTGGGGCTCTTCGTGCAGCTCGAAGGTGAACCGTGAAGGTCGGCCATTGGAGTCAATGCCCTCCACTGTCACTAGCTTGGACTTGCCGGGCCCGTTCTTGGCGAGGAACCGCGTCAATCGATCGTTGGGCCCGCCGGTGAAGTCGTCTCCGCAGTCCACGTAGCGGCTCTCTAGCAGCGAGGTCGTGCGGATGATCTGCGCGTGCACCATTGTGTAGTCCAGCTGGTGGGTAGGGGGGCGAGGAAAGCTAGGGCATCACAGAGGGATGTGTGGTTAAGGGACGAGCGGCAGAGACGAGCAATATCGACATGCATGCAAAGTTGCAAACACAAGCATTAAACATATTTACCTCCCGCTGCTGAAAGACCTTGTTGAGCACGTTCAGCAGCTCGAGCACGTCGGCGAGGAACATCAGGAGGAGCCAGAAGCGGTAACTGGTGACGAGCGCGTACAGCTTGGCGTTGTACTCCTGCAGCATGACCATGATGGCTGGTAGGACCTCGACCAGGCGGATGACAGCATCTCCGCGCGACAGCCAGCGGATGTTGTGGATGCCCTGGAGCTCGAGGTTCGTCGACATGAACACCTCCTGGAGCTCCAAGAATCGCTGATGCTAAGGGTTGGAGCGATCGAGCAGCTCAGCGATCTCGCGAATGATGTTGTCAACCATGCTGAAGACAGGGATCTCCTCAGCAGCAGCCTTTGCCGCCAGCGCCTCTCTGCGTGGGATAAGGGGATGAGATGCAATGTAGGAAGCAAATTAGCGATTGGAATTATAAACAAAACAAGCAAATAAACATAGCACACAGCAAATGGTTGACGAACCGATGGGCAATGCAATGGCAAGAGACAAGGTGCGGAACGCGAAGACGAGGGCGGGCCACAAGTCCAGAGCGCGCTCCCATCATAACGGCAGCACCGTCAGTGCTAATGCCAGAGATGCGGCCGAGTTCGACGCCAATCGCCTGCAGATGGGACAACAAGAGGGCGAGTAGCGATGCCGCATCCGCCTTCTCCACCGTCAACAGAGCCAGGTACTCGGTTACAAGCCGCCCTTCCCGGATGAATGTGGCAAACACGATCATGTGCTTGCCACGGCAGCGATCGGTGCTTTCGTCGAGGCTCAGGCCAATGTAGGGACTCGCCAGCAGGTGTTGGAGTTGAGTCGTCTGTAGCCACGTGGCCGTCGCTTGTGTTAGTTCGCCGAAGCCGTACCTGTTACATGACACGCATAGTGCAAGTTGTTGTAAGTTTCATATCTAAAGACAAAACATAGCGAAGTTCATAGTCACTGGAGTTCTCACCAGTTATAGTACGTGCCGTAGGCAGACTTCGGGAAGCCCTTGAAACTGCGCGATGAGAGGTATCGCACCAAACAAATCCAAGTTTCCATGGGTTCGTTACACTTGGCGCAGAAGTAGAGGGAGTCGAGCAGCGCGATGACTCGCTCCTTCTCTTCGTCGGCCGCGCGGGGATGCAGGTCGATCCGCTGCTGGTTAGACGCCTGTTGCAGGAGATCGTCCTGCTTGGACATGGCGAGGCGATGCTTCTGCGTTCCGGCGTGCTTCTTGAACGACTGTGTCTGCATGTCCTTTGCTCCCTTGCCCGATTTGCCGGTACGCCCTGCAGGTCCTGCATGCACTGCGCATACACTACACTTGAAGGCCGGGAGCCCATCATCAGTTTTCAAAAGCATGAGCCAAGGGAATCTGTCAGACCAGCGAGATTTGAAACGCTCTTGGGCCTCAGCATAGATGTCCTCGTTCGTTCTAGCAGTGGACCTACCGCCAGACGATTCTGGCAAGTCCGCATATACAAAGGGGCTCGGCACAGGCTCAGGCGGATCCTGGCATGTCGACGTTGAGGCGTACGGCAGAATCACCTGCCTGTACCGGAACCTCTTCGCCGCCGTCACCGACGGCGTGGTGCCGGCGACAGGAGCTGAAGCAGTGGGCAGGGGGCTTGCATCCGCAGACTTCTTGCCCGCTGCATCGGGAACAGGTGCATCGCCATCAGCAGGGGCAGCGTCACCAGGCTTCCTCTGAGGGCTACGATCTGAAGCATCCGACTGCCGCAGGAACTTTAGTGCGGCCGGACCATCGCCGAAATTCTCGGCACACCAGTACTCTTCGTCTTGTTCATCATAATCTGCCTCGTCTACGTCCTCATCGAGGTCGACCTGCTCCATGGCCTGCAGGGGCGCGGTGGGAAAACAAACGCACTGAAAGAAAACCGAGGGGCTACACGAAGCTTGGCTGAAGTTTTGCTGGAGGGGGGAGAAGCAGGGGTCGTTTTCCCCATCAGTAAAGAACTGATGGAGAAGGAGGGGGTCTGCCAGCTGCAACTCCATCGCAGCGCGCGAGATGCTGTCCATGCATGCCTTAACCAGGCACTCGTCGCGTCAGCATGGGTGCGGTGCCTCGTCTGCCGTGCCTCACCCAGCAAAATGCCTCAGGATTGGCGAAAACAACCGTGTTTTGGTCAAGGACCAATCGGCTGCTCGGGCTATCTCTGTGCTGGCGCCATCGCACAAAATTTGCCCGCCCGACGGCTCGGGCCACGCCAGCGCAAATGTAATTCTGGCGTGATTGACGGTGACGACAGAGGTACCAACGCAAATCTCGCAACCCCCCCTAGAATGACGGTATTACAGGAATCAGAGTCCCCCCCCCCCATACAAGGATGAAGCATCAGAGTACACTTGTCAAAGAAGTCTGAAAAATCAGAGTAGGTACATAAAACTTCTCTGAAAAATCAGAGTAACATAGCAAAAAAAGTCTTTGGAATCAGAGTACACCCCCAAAAAAACTCTGAAAAAAGTCTGAATCAGAGTAAAAAGTCTGCAATTTGGGGGCCTGTTTGTACTGTCCTTTATATATATTTTACCCTGACTGGCCCTGTGGCCTCTCCCAGTGGCTGGACTAGTAGTGCCGCCCTGGTCTTGCTCTTGCCTTGTCTGTATTCCTTTGACTGGTCTTTAGACCCTTGTCTCAGAGGCTAGACTAGTAGTGCCGCCCTGAGCTGCTTCTTCCCTTGTTAGGCACTGCCCTTATATAGTCTAGGGGGTGTGTCAAACATACTTATGCAGTTACTGTAGACTATATATGTTTGTGCCTTCGTGGGTACAACTCTCTAGACTATATTGCCTTGTATCTCCCCACTCTAGTCATTATTCTTTCTGTTGCCCAATCCAAACATGCGCAGCAGACACCAGCCAGACGGATGAGCTGGATAACCAGCCAGAGACAGAAGCTGGGGTTACCAGCCAGAGACACACGCTGGGGTTACCAGCCAAAGACACTAAGGGTTACTACCAGCCTGAGACACACGCTGGGGATACCACCCAAAGACACATGCTGGGGTTACCAGCCAGAGACACACGCTGGGGTTACCAGCCAGAGATCCACCCTGGGGTTACCGGCCAGAGACACACGCTGGGGTCACCAGCCAGAGAGACACGCTGGTCTTACGAGCCAGAGAGACACGCTGGGGTTACTACCAGCCAGAGACACGCGCTGGGGTTACTACCAGCCATTAACCTAAGCATGAAAAGCCCAACCCTCTAGCTAATTAGCATGAATTGATGGTACAGCTGTCAACCACATCGCGTCTTCTCTCAGCGAATGACAGCTGAGCTTGCAACCTGCCAGGGACAGAACGCACACGCAGAGAGGAGAGGATGTTTCAGGTGCAAAGAAATCCGTGAGCCATTGTGGATCAAACTGCAATCAGATGGAGGGGTCTGACTGAAATGGACTTAAAGAATATGCAGGAACTCACAAGACAACTGGACTGGGTTGGGGCATGGAGCGAGGTTACCTTGTGCTTCCACCGCTGGCGCTTCTGCTGCCCTTGCTGCCGGCCTCTGTGCTGCCGCTTGTTCAGCTGCCACCACAGCTGCCACCCGTTTATCACCACTGCTGCTGTCTTCAGCCCCACGTGGAGGCTGATGCAGTATGGGGAGAGGAGCGGATGAGAGTGCAGGGATAGGGGGGCAGCAAGGGAGGGGGTTTGGGCGAGAAAGTGGACAGGAAACACAACAATACTAAGAAGGGGCCAGAGAAAAAGCGATGCTGAATAACAAGTAAATACCATCATAATTCTGCTGCATGTTCTTGTCACTGCTGCTGGTGCTCCTGCTGACACAGCTGCAGTTGTCCCCAGTGCCATGACTCCGGTTGCTGATGCTACTTCCCATCGGCTCTGATGATACGGCCACTGCTGTTGGCTCGAACTCCCTAGGGTCCGCAGGGACGGCTGTTGTTGGATAGGGAGAGCGTGCGAGAGAGAGGGAAGGCCGGAAGAGCGGCAGCGAGAGAGAAGGGAAGGTGAGAGCATGAGGACAGAAATAACGGTCAAGAAGCCAGGGAGACAAAAGCTAGAAGAGCAGAAGAGCAGGAGAGATCAAAGGAGTCAAAAGAGCAGGAGCAGCAAGAGGAGTAGAGTAGGGAAACAACTACCAGTGTGTCGCTCCTTCTGCCAGCGCTGCTGCTGCCCCCAACACCGCAGCCGTTGCCACTACATCCATGACTCCTGCTGCCGCTGCAACTGCCGCTGCCACTGCCGCCATCACTCCTACATGGAGCGCTGGTGAGTCGAGCCAACATGTATTCTGTGATAACTGCAGAGAGGTCGGAGAAGAGGAGGTGAAGACTGAGGAGGAGAGGGTCTGAGACAGAAACAAGGCGAGCAGACATTCTTAACCGGAAACAGGTGAAGCCAGAAAGAACGCGAATGGAACAAGGGAGGAAATGCAGAGCTCTGATTTCTACTCACAAGGTCGTCATCTTAATGCTGGTGCCCCCGCTGCAGCTGTGACCGCTGCTGCCAGTGCAGCCATCGCTGCAGCAATCACTGCTAGCATCCCTGCTCACTTGAGTTCCAGTAGAGTGCACAAGCGATCGCTGCTGGGCATGGGAGGGCAGGAAGGGACCGCATGGAGAGGAAGGCAGCAGCACGAACAGGGGTGGTGCGAAAGGGGAGATGGCGGAGAACTCTGACTCGGGAAAGCTTGAACGAAAATGTTCCGAGTTTCATGAGCAGAAATGATTACCAACGTGGCGTTAGTGGGGCGAGATGGGGCTTCTGCAGCTGCTGCTGCAGTTCCTTCTGCCACTGCTGCTGCTGCCTTGAGCTTCAACGCGTGTACAGGGGTGGTTCCTGCTGGATGGAGAAAGGAGAATGGGGAATGTCCAAGGAGGTGAGAACCTGAGGCGACAGAATGCACGAAAGAAAAGCTATCATAGAGAAATGGCACTGTACTTGCAAAGAGAGGGTAGAAAGCACGCAAAATGAGAGGTGAAAGTAAGGCAAGGCGAAACCTCTGATGCTGCTTTGTGACGTCCCTGCTGCCGTTGCTGCTGCTGTGTTGAGCACCACTTTCCTGCACTCCACGCTGTGTTGACAACGCGGCTGCCACCACTGTCACGGCTGCCACTGCCACGGGTGCAGTGTTGCAGTTGGAGGAACATTACGGAGCATCTGTGTTGACCCCCACGCCCCTCCCCACCACCAGCAGTGCACACACACAGCGTTAGTTAGTGGACATCAGGGAATGAAAGGTGAGAGAGGTGATAACTGGTAGAGAAACAATAAGAAACTGAAAGGTGAGAGAAGGGAGGGGCCACTGGTGGAGGCACATTTTCAAGCCACAGACCCCAAGCGCACCTGGGGGGGGGAACCTGGGTGGGTGTCAGGGGACCTGAACCTGAGGGGTTTACCTGGAGTACGGGGGTCTGTGGCTTGTGATTCACGCTCCAACCAGTGACCAGAGATATAACGAGGCAGCATGGAAGCACACGAGGCAGCATGGAAGCACATGAGGCAGCATGGAAGCACATGAGGCAGCATGGAAGCACACGAGGCAGCATGGAAGCACACGAGGCAGCATGGAAGCACATGAGGCAGCATGGAAGCACCCAAGGCAGCATGGAAGCACATGAGGCAGCATGGAAGCACATGAGGCAGCATGGAAGCACATGAGGCAGCATGGAAGCACATGAGGCAGCATGGAAGCACATGAGGCAGCATGGAAGCACATGAGGCAGCATGGAAGCACACGAGGCAGCATGGAAGCACATGAGGCAGTATGGAAGCACACGAGGCAGCATGGAAGCACATGAGGCAGCATGGAAGCACACGAGGCAGCATGGAAGCACACGAGACAGCATGGAAGCACATGAGACAGCATGGAAGCACATGAGGCAGCATGGAAGCACACGAGGCAGCATGGAAGCACATGAGGCAGCATGGAAGCACACGAGGCAGCATGGAAGCACATGAGGCAGCATGGAAGCACACGAGGCAGCATGGAAGCACACGAGGCAGCATGGAAGCACACGAGGCAGCATGGAAGCACATGAGACAGCATGGAAGCACACGAGGCAGCATGGAAGCACATGAGACAGCATGGAAGCACATGAGACAGCATGGAAGCACACGAGGCAGCATGGAAGCACACGAGACAGCATGGAAGCACATGAGACAGCATGGAAGCACATGAGACAGCATGGAAGCAAACGAGGCAGCATGGAAGCACACGAGACAGCATGGAAGCACATGAGACAGCATGGAAGCACATGAGACAGCATGGAAGCACATGAGACAGCATGGAAGCACATGAGACAGCATGGAAGCACATGAGACAGCATGGAAGCACACGAGGCAGCATGGAAGCACACGAGGCTGCATGGAAGCACATGAGACAGCATGGAAGCACATGAGGCAGCATGGAAGCACACGAGACAGCATGGAAGCACATGAGACAGCATGGAAGCACATGAGACAGCATGGAAGCACACGAGGCAGCATGGAAGCACACGAGACAGCATGGAAGCACATGAGACAGCATGGAAGCACATGAGACAGCATGGAAGCAAACGAGGCAGCATGGAAGCACACGAGACAGCATGGAAGCACATGAGACAGCATGGAAGCACATGAGACAGCATGGAAGCACATGAGACAGCATGGAAGCACATGAGACAGCATGGAAGCACATGAGACAGCATGGAAGCACACGAGGCAGCATGGAAGCACACGAGGCTGCATGGAAGCACATGAGACAGCATGGAAGCACATGAGGCAGCATGGAAGCACACGAGACAGCATGGAAGCACATGAGACAGCATGGAAGCACATGAGACAGCATGGAAGCACATGAGACAGCATGGAAGCACATGAGACAGCATGGAAGCACATGAGACAGCATGGAAGCACATGAGGCAGCATGGAAGCACACGAGGCAGCATGGAAGCACATGAGATCAAAACAAGGAAAGAATTGAAGCAGCTCGCAGCATGCAAAGCGAAGTTCAGGGTGGAGAAGGTACTTAGCTGAAGGTGGAAGCAGTTGGAGTCAGACAGGCAGGGGATGACGGCATGAGGTGAGAGAGGTCACATCCCCTCTCATGCTCCCACAGTCGCCAGTGCTGCCACGGCTGCTGCAGCTGGTGTGCAGCTTCTGAGACACTCTTACGCCTCCCCAGCAGGAAAACGAAGAGGAGATTAACCACGCAGAAAGGGAAGAGAGAGACGAGGTGTTAGCACACGAGCAAGGCCAGAGATGGACGCGGCAAAAAGTGACAAAATGACTCTCTAGGCGGCCTGTAGACACAATCCCCCCCACCTCCCTTGGACCGCCAACAGACCTTTTCTCCTTCCTTGCAGCACGTCTTGGGGAAGAGCAGGGGGAGAGACCGTCTCTCCTCTGATGCACCCACAGACATCACCGCTGCTTGCAGCTGCTGGTAGTGTTGGAGGTGCCTCCCTTGACACGGTTCTTCCCAAGGGTGGTGTGAAGCTCCAGCACCGGAAGAATCCTCGCAATCAGGCACGGGGAGGACGGTGTTAGTACACGTGCAAGGGAACGGATGGACGCGAAGATGATTCACACGTTGACTCTCTAGGCGGCCTGTGGTAGACACCATCCCCCCCGCCTCCCTTGAAGCTTCAACGTACCTGTCTCCCCTCGTTGCAGCCCGTCCCGGTGACGGCGAAGTGCAGCTGAGAGAGTGAGCGGACCAAAGAGGAGGAGCGAGGAGGAGGAGCGAGGAGGAGGAGCGAGGAGGCGCAACGGGGGAGAATCCCTTCAATCGCGTCCATCCTCGCGACCTCCGCCTCCCGCTGCTGCATGTCCCGACGCGGCTCGTCCCGCTGCTGCATCCCAGTTGAGCGTTGAACGCTCACTTCAACGCCGTTTCTCGCAATGATCGTTTCGACGCCGCTGCAGGATGGCTGGCCAATCGCTCCCAGAATCAAGCCTCGTGGGCGTCCGTCGGACGTAGATGAGAAGTTTGGTAATCCGTGGCAGAGTACAGAACGCACACCCTTTTTGGCGGGCAGGAATCGGCGGACTAGGATCGGCCGGCTAGAATCGGCGGGCTAGGATAGGTGGACTAGAAACGGCGGGCTAGAATCGGTGGACTAGAACCGGGAGACTACTAATAGAGGCGTAGGAAGTCTGATGACGGTGTATCGCACTGCCGAGCTGATCGACATCTAACCGAGGTGAGGGAAGCCTTATTCGCGGCGGAGAAGCGAACGAGAGAACGAGGCTAGGCGGCGGTGACGAGACGATGTAGGCGTGGGCGAGAGGAGTTAGCGGCATCTGGCCAAGGCGACGCTACGTTCCGTACGATGACGCAGGCGAGGTGCGATAGCAGGTGACGAGGCTGTCAGAGCGTTTCTGTTGGGCTGGGCTGGCTCCGGACTACTAGTCACGGTTCGGTTCGTCATGCTGAGGGGCGACGCAGATTCTTCTAGAACTCCTGGCTGGGACGTCCGCTCTGCACATGAAACGATTACACGTTCCCACATGTGACTACCACACCGCTAGGTTGCTAGTAGCGAGCGAACTTAACCGAATCCAGGGTTGTCCAAGGCAGGTTTCGCTGCTGCTGCATCGGCACGCGGTCTCCGCTACTGGGAGCCTTTCAGGGAAGCATGGTAGCCGATTCTGCACCAATGCTGCTGCTGACAGAGTCGCGGGTACTGCCACTGTTGCGACCGGCGTTCCCAAGGGTGGTGTGAAGCCTCAACCCCAATCTCGTTAGCAGGAACAGGAGGGGACGCCGAAAGACGGAAGACAGTGTTAGTACGTAAGCAAGGCTCAAGGGACGCGAAGAAAAGTGACACAGTGACTCTCTAGGCGGCCTGTGTCGCTAACGATGGTCAGACGGTCGTTCCGATCTCAGGTGTCCGAATGTCCTCATGGCCATTTGGTGGATGTCCACCTCAGAAGTTGAGCTGACAGCAGAAACCTGGTAGAGAACTGTCGTGCATCTGCAGCAAAAACCAGATTCCCGTAAAAATTACACGGAGAGCATGAGTAACGGTTGTACGGATTTAGCATATGCGAGAAACGCTGTGCTAACGACGATGTAGTCCCTGGAAATAGACGGGAAAAAGCAACTGACGAAAAGTAATCTAAGCACGAAAACAGCGGCATCCACATGCAAGAGCAGGCGATGCTTACAATAGCTGTGGAGGAAAAAGAGAGGCGACGACGACGCATGCAGCCTCGTCCGTCAGGCATTCAGTGAGTCCCGACCGTCCTCATGATTTCGTTACTGACAGCGCCGCTTGATCGCCGACCTTGTTAAGAAACGCTTCTACCGGGTCCGTCTCGCAATAGCTGTTCGACGCTGCATGCTCGCCGCTTAATCGCTGGCAGAAGCAAACCTAGCGGCCTCGTGGCTGACCGCCAAGCACGGGCGTAAACGATAAGAACGGAGCATAAGCTTCGTATTCCCAACCGCTAGGTACCCTAATCTTGTCGGCGGGCTAGAGATGGAAGTAGCCTTCAGACGGCTTATCGCTCTGTTGGTGAAGGCATCCTAACTCTACTGGAGGAAGTATCTGAAGCAAGGGAAGCATGGCTGAAAGAAAGCCTGTCTGTGGGTGAGGTCAGTCTGTCCTGGGCAGTGAGGCAATTGCAAACATCACTTAGCCCAATGCCCCATTGACAATGGAGTCAAACATCACTTGGACAATGGTGTCAGAATTTGGGAGGGATGCGCTGGCAGACGCGGCCCCGTGCCGACAAATCAGTTGCCACAATTCCTGTCGCGCCAGGGTTTGAGTGGGTTGGATCAGTTTGGGTTCGGTCTGCTTGGCTGGTGTGCGGTGTACTGCAGCCAAAAGTTGGCTGGTCACATCACCACGGGAGTGTGCGTCTGCGTTATTGAGAACCCGTTAGGACGACAAATTGTTGCACTACAAATCTACACGTCCTGGCATTTGCTTCAACAACAACCATCATTTTTGCCGTCCCGTCTTCGATTCGCGTGCTCTGCACAGCTGCCTGCTTCAATCTGTGTGCCTGCCACCCTCAACACCCTTCCATTGTCGCCTCCTCCATTGTCCTATTACTAATACAGTATCATCGTCCTGCCTGGCTGCTCTCTCCTGAACGCTCGTCTTGCTCGTCTCCTCGCTTTCGTCTCGTCACCTTTTATCGTCTAGTCGGATCATTATTCAGCCATGGGGAAACGAGAGGATAACGACTCTACCAACCTGCCTCTCGTTAAAGGTCCCCTTCATAAGAACCGGTTCCCCTGCATTTCCCTTCCCTACTCACCTGCTTCAAGTCCCTTCGTAACAATACTTCCTCTTTCTCTGAAGTCTGTCCTAACCTAGCTCTACCCTGGGTTCCCTTCTGAAGCCAAATATTATCAAAATCCGTTCTCCCCGCTTTTCCCCCCGCGTGTCCCCGCCGCGTTTCCCGCAGTGGGTCGGTTCGGGCGCGTGACGGTGGCGGAGCAGGGCGCGGAGGACCGGGACGCGGCGGCGTACAAGCGGCTGATGGCGCTGATGAAGGAGGAGGCGAGGCCCATCGGGTACCTGCACGGCCGGGGAGGTGAGAGGGGGGGAGTCGGGGTTGGGGGTGAGGGAGGGTGTGTTTTGAGTCGACCCAGAGCCACCCGTACAAACGGCTGAGGGCGCTCATGAAGGAACGAAGGAGGAAGCCAGGCCCATCGGTACCTTCATGGCGGAGGAAGTGAGTAAGAAGCGAGAGCTACTGCATCATTATTATATCAGTATCAAAGCTATTTAGCATTGGTCGATTTAAAAATCTGCCAATGCGAAATCTTCGTTTTGCATGTCACGTGAAGCCAATCTCCCCCAGCGTTCCTTAACGTCAACCACATCTCTCTCGTGCCTTGGTGTCTTTGTGAACCCGCCGTGCAAGCAGCGCTGGACCACGACGACCTGAACTACCTGCGGGAGCACATCCGCGCGGAGGAGGAGACAGAGAAGCTCAGGCAGCACTCGGAGAAGAGGGCCTTCGCTGCTCTCAAGATATGCCCCTTACCCGTCTCCACGCTCCACCTGCCTTTCCACCTCTGCCTTTTCGCCCCCACATTTCTTGCCCACCATATCCCCATCTTTCCATTGTGTTGATTCTGCTTCACTCCCCCTTGCCATCTCCTTCGTTATAACATGTCCGAGCTTGTCTGCTTTGCTTGGTTCATCTGTTGCTTGGTCTCTCCTCCTCCTTCCAACCGCCACCCTCATCCCCACTTGCTGATGCTCGCGCTTGTACATGCTCGCACTCCTCATCTGGCCGTTCTCACACGCTCTTGTGTTGTCTCGTTTGCCGATCTAACCGATGCACGCAGCTGCAGCCAAGAGTGAAAGTTCACAACCACCAGCATTAGCCAGCCCTGCAGCCTCGCCCTCAGCACCGCCCAAAGCTAAATTCCCCAACAGGTGTGACTGAATCTATAATTGGCTGTTGTAGCATTTTGCAATGTCCTTCCATGTACGCTTGAGAAATGTCGTGCCAAATGCTTTGGCCTTCTTCTGTGTTTCACTTACCCTGTAAGTTTCCTGATCGATCTGTTGTTCCCATGGCAGGCAAAAGGCACTTCTGAAAGCAATTGTTGAAGTGAAGCCAAAGAGGCCCCGTCTTGAACAGGGGAATGAAACGGAAGCACCAGCTAAACCTGAGCAATCTTCAAAAGCATCAAATGGAGCTCGCAATTCCAGCAGCTTGGGCGGTTCGATATTAGCTCCATCTCAATCAAGTTTGGAGGATGCCAAAAGCTCTGCAGCAGTGGAAGCCAAGGAAGCTGTGTCCATAGGTCAAGAGGGGCGATCATCTCCAGCGGAACCTAGCGGCCCGGGTCTTCTTGGCCTAGCATATGATGATGATAGTGACGAGGAGTAACTTCAGTCATTCTTGTACAGTATGCAGCATGCCCTAGTCCTTTGTAGGGCATGCTTAGGAAATAATGATGTGAAATGTAATGTAATTTCTTTTGTACATTGTTGACATTCAGGGCTGGTCTACACTCGCATCAGGAATTCCCGAGGCACGGCGAACCTGCTCGACCCCACCTCGGCTCAGCACTTCGCCACCTCGCCGCTTCACAAAACCCGACTGCGAGGAAAGGGCTCAGTGCGAGGAGGTGCTGCATACAGCGGAGTGGAGGGATGGGGAGCCTCGAATGACGGCGACGTTAGCGGAGGAGTAGGGATCCCTTGCCGAGTTTCCAGCGCAAGTCCATCCTCCCTGCACTCGTCGGGAGCGAACTTTTTGCGTTTGAATTCGTCTTTGCGAGGAACGCAGCCCTTGTACAGTCGCAGCCGTTGGGCGTGGACTTAGGACAGTAGGACAGGCTTGCCGATAGAGCAAGCAGGACGCGATCAAAGCATTTCAAGAACAGCTGTTCGTCGCTGTAGGATTCAGAAACCTGCGATCTTATCGCCGGTCCATTTCCTTGGGGTTACCCGTTGATATTTAGTGGGGTGGGCCACCACTCGGTTCATTATCAGCTCATTTTTCCGTGTGTAGCTCCTCGCTGCTGACGCTCATATAATCGCTATTTTCTCTAGACGCCCTGAGTCTTGAAGTTGCCTTTCATAGCTCCTCAATCGGCGTGAGGAATTCTCCCGTCTCGCGTTCACCTATCTCGTGTTGCGGCATTCGCCGTTCGCCTACCTCGCGTCTCCGGCTCGCTTCTCTCGCTCCCCTATCTTAGTCTCGCGCCATAGCTCACGGCCTCTTCTTCTCGAGACGTCTCTGCATCGACCATCATCTATCTAGGTTTCCGATCGTCGCGGCGCCGTGAGTCTCGGCGGCTCGGCAGCCATGGCCACGCCAGAGCAGCTGGTGCTCGAGCTGAGCATTCCCGAGCAGCGGGAGAACGCTTTGCTGGACCTCAGTAAAGTAAGACACTGGAGGAGATGGTTGGGAGCACGCGGGAACTCGTTCGCAGGGAGGGTAAGCGGCGTGTTCTGACTCGCTGCGTGGTTCTTCCTCTCACGGCTTCCCCTTGTGCTGCAGAGACGAGAGGCGTACCCGGACCTGGCGTTGCTACTGTGGCATTCGTGCGGTACAATCACAACGCTGCTGCAGGCACGTGCTCCAACTCACCATTCGACCTCCTCCTTCCGCGTCTACCTCATCTCGCCCTCACTCTCCACTCCAATCCCACGCACATTCTTTCACGCCGAACCTCTTGTGCCCGAATCCTGCTCATCTCTGCTCATCTCTCCCTGGTTGTCGGCCCCCCACCCCTCCCCCGCGCCTTCCCCTCGATCACAGGAGGTGGTGTCCATCTACCCCATGCTATCACCGCCTACACTAACAGCAGGGGCGTCCAACCGAGCGTGCAATGCGCTGGCCGTGCTGCAGTGCGTGGCCTCTCACCCTGACACGCGCGTGCTCTTCCTCAATGGTAACCCTATCGCTCTCTGGTAACCGTCTTGCACTGGGTTTCCTTTTCCCTCCTCTCGGGACGGTTTTCTACTCCGCGCATTCTCTCCTGTGCTCTGCTGCCGTCCACGCTGGGAGGCCATCAGCAGCACATACCTAAGATTCCTCATACTCCTCCCCCCTTCTCCCTTCTCCCTTCCCCACATGCCTTCCTCCCTGCCACACTCCCCTTCCCCCCCCAGCGCACATCCCCCTGTACCTGTACCCGTTCCTCAACACGGTGAGCAAGACGCGCCCCTTCGAGTACCTGCGCCTCACGTCGCTGGGCGTCATCGGCGCGCTCGTCAAGGTCAGTCAACGTCCCCCCGTTGACGTGTGTCAAGTCAACTGGTCGACATCCGTGCGTGGGGCTTAGCATAGCAGTGAACCACATGCGGGTCAATCAACCAAGGCAGGTCATTCCTTACCATTAGTGAGTGAATTGCCTCATCAATCACCACCCCTCTCCACTCCCCCCCTCAACGTCCCCACCGCTTCCCCCCAATATCTCTCTTTCAGAACCCTCTGTGCCTGCGCGCCAAGGAGATGAGGTCACAGCTATTCAAGACATTTGCTGCTCCTCGTCCTCTCCCCCCCCCCCGCCTCCCCTACACACAACACAACACACACTGCGTCGCTCCCTCTTTCAGGTGGACAACACGGATGTGCTCAACTTTCTCTTGTCTACAGAGATCATCCCTCTGTGTCTGCACATCATGGAGATGGGCTCCGAGCTCTCCAAGACCGTCGCTGCTTCTCCCCTCCCCCTCACACACACACGCCCTCCCCATCGCAGGTCGACGACACGGACGTGGTGAACTTCCTCCTGTCAACGGAGATCATCCCGCTCTGCCTGCGCACCATGGAGATGGGCTCCGAGCTCTCCAAGACTGTCGCGACGTTCATCGTGCAAAAGATACTGCTGGACGACGTGGGGCTCGCCTACATCTGTGCCACTGCTGAGAGATTTTTCGCGGTGAGTGGCTTGGAGTTAGAGGCAAGAGGGTCAGGAGGTTAAGGGGGCAGAGGGGCATGAAGAACGTTCATCGTGCAGAAAAGCACTGCTGGACGGTGTGGGTCGCGCTTTCATCCGCGCCACTGCTGAGTGATTTTTCGCGGTAAGTGGCGATGTGTGTTGTGTTTGTTTGTGGTGGTCAGGGGGCTGGCAGGCCAGCATGCAAGGGTTGGGGGCATGGTGCCATGGATGGATTACGGGGGCCCGGGCACGTGGTGCATGCCTTCGAGCTCATTACAACCCCAGGCTTTCCAAACGCCCCTCGTCCACCCACCCTGCGCCTCTCCCCTTCCGTCCCGGGCCTTCCTCTTCTTCTCTCTTGAACCTTAAACCCTCATAGTCTCCTCCCCTCCCCACCCCCCACGTGACTGTGGTCCTTGGGCAACATGGAGGAGCTGCTAGCTGAGTTCCCGTCCATGCGTCTCTTAAAGCACATCATCCGCTGCTACCCGTGCCTCACTCATTCTCACTCGTTTCCCCTTGTTTCCACCACTTTGAACCCCCCACCCCAGGTGAGCGCAGTCCTGGGCAACATGGTGCAGCTGCTAGCAGAGCACCCCTCAGTCCGCCTCCTCAAGCACATCATCCGCTGCTACCTGCGCCTCTCCGACAACCCCCGGGCCTGCGAGGCGCTGCGCACGTGCCTGCCAGACCTGCTGCGCGACGCCACCTTTTCTGCTTGCTTACGAGACGACGTCACCACCCGGCGCTGGCTGGCCCAGCTGCTCATCAACGTCGGCCCGCCGCTGCACGGCGGGGGAGTGGGCGCTGCCAACCCGCTGCACGGGGGAGTGGGAGCGTCGGCCGCTTTGCATGCGGGGGCCAACCCGCTGCATGGGGGCTCGGGTGGGGGCCTGCACTCGTCGTCCCCTCGCCCCTGCAGCCGCTGCATGGGGCGTCCTCCCCGCTGCACGCTGTGCAGCGGCCGGGGCAGATGGGCGGCGGGCCCATGGGCGTGGTGGGGGGGATGGGCGGGGGAGTGGGGGGGATGGGCCTTCCCCCGATGGACACTCTGCCCCCTGTGAACTGAGGGAGGGAGGGGGCGAAGCGAGGGGTGTGAAGGGAGGGGTGTGACAGGTGGCCGAGTGGGGGGCGAGCGAGGTGAGTGAAGCAATTCAGGGGATTCATCATTTGCTCGAATCAGGCGCACCTACTCGACTCGTGGCGTAGTTGTAGGGGTGCGTGCGTGTGGCCCGTTGTGGCCTTCCGGCCAGGCGCCTGCAGTAAGAGCAGGAACCTTCTGGAGTGACCTGAAGGGTCATCTCAGTAGAAGTAGGGCAGCAGCTGTCTCAGCTGACACGGGTTACCGGTAACCGGTGCGGTTGGTTGTGATTACTTCATGGCCTCTGTCTGGCTTCTGTACTTGTGAGCTGGATGTATGGAACAAAGCCTGACGAATAGAAACCAAGGGGTGCTTATTATTTGAGCTTGAAAGCCGCTTCCCAGTCACCATCAAACAGGCTGTCATCATCATCATCATCGCCATCATCAAAGTCATCATTACTGCGACTCACAGTGCGCCTATTCTTCAGAGGCAACTTGCCTTGCCTGCCCCCCTTGCCCTGCGCTCTGATACCCACGGTCGTGTGCAAATCATTGCCTGGTGCCTTGCTGTTCCGTGCATGTCGCTTTTTGCCGGGCGCGACTTCACGAGGTGTGGCTGTAAGGGGGCGTTGCTCTGCTCCCAGTGGGGCAGAGGCTGTCACGTCTGTAGCAGCAAAGCCTTCAGAGGCTTCTGAGGCGTCGGAGGCTTCTCTCTTGATCACATCTGTAGCAGGCCCATCAGTGGGTGTTTGGTGCTTGCAGAGCTTGCGTAGGAGCTGCTTGCTCTTGGGCACCACCGCGACCGCCTGGGCTCCTTGGGACTCAAAGTAGGAGCGCAGGAGAACCTGGAGGGGTGGGGTGTGGGGGTTGAGAGTGGAGGCAAAGGGGGCTTGTGAAAAAGGGGGCGTTTGAGGAGCAGAGAAATGGGTGCGCGCGAGAACTGCCTTGAAGTGGAAAATGCTGCTCCAAAAACAGCTTCTTTGCATGTTCTTAGAAAAAAATGCTGATAGGCTTTCAGAGCACTGTTTTATGAGTCTGGGGAAATCATGTGCTGATACTCACAGCAGCAGCAAAGGCATCAAGCATCTCTTGCCGGTCCTTCCTGCCACAGCCACTGCCAGTGATGTGCGGGGGGGGGAGAGGGAGAGAGGCATGTGAGAGGAGAGAGACGGAGAGTGGGTGACAGAAGAAACACGGGGGAACGGCTGCTGCTACATGGATGACACATGCATGACACATGTATACATGGATGATACAAGCATGACATGTCAGCACGACTAGGACAAGGCAGCAGCAAGTGATGGGCCATGGGAGATGACGCGGCGACGCACGATTGGATCATGAGGTCGAGGGCATCTTGTGATGTGCTGTACTCGTCATGTAGGAACACTCGCACGCCCCTGTGGACGCACGGGCACACATTTGACCCACAAACACAAGGCATACACGACAGAACAGCGGATGAGTCCAAATAAGAGCAAGAAGCGAGTAGCAGCGCTAAGAGAACTGGAAGGAAACGCCTCAACAACACACGGATCATCTCGGCCTGCCGGTGCACGGGGGAAAGGGCCTCACTGAATGGCAGCTGGTTTTGCCAGAGATTGTGCGAACTGCCGACAAGTGGCGGCCTGTGGGCCCTCGGATCGATCCCACGACACCGGCAGCCCCACCACCAGCTCGTCCGCCCCCTGGGGGCGGGATAGGGGGGAAGGGGCGGAGAGGGGGAAGGGGAGACGAGGAAGAAGGGGAGAAGAGGAAGAAGGGGAGGATAAGGGAGAGCCAACCTTATCGACACGGAGAACAACTTGATGATTGTCAGCCTGGCAACACACACATTCACCACCCACCTCCTCTCCCTTCTGCTCCCCTCACTCTCCCCTCACTCTCCCCCCTCCGGCCCTCCTCCACGCCTCCCCCCCCCTCACCTCATCTTTCACCACTTTCAGCAGGTCAGCCGTCAGCTGAGGCCCCCTTGACGTCAGCACCTGTAGGCTCGGCAGGCAGACAGGTTCGGCAACCGGAGAGGCTTGGCAGCAGGCAGGCATGGCAGGGCAGAAAAGCACGAGGCATGCATGCAGGCAGGGCACCAGCGCAACAGAGATTGCCAGAAGAGGACGGATGGGGAGGAGGAAGAGCGATGCAGGAAGAGCGATGCAGGAAGAGCATATGACATTTGAGCCTCCATGCACGAGGGCGGCATTCGTTGAGCAGGGGCGGAAAAGCACAGGGCAGCTCAGCTGAGCATGCCGGCTCACAGGGGCCGGGCGAAAAGACAATGGAGGGGAGAAAACGGAGAGGGGGTCGGAAGGAAGGGGTGGGGTGGGGGAGGGGCATCTGGTGCTGATAACATGCCAAGCGGCCATGCGCCTTGCGACGCGGCTATAAGGGCCCATGTCTTGAGGTGAAAGCTTTGCTTTTGAGTCGACTCAAAGCCCATGTCTTGAGGTGAAAGGAAGATGCGTTTAACGCTTAGATTAATACACTCACTTACCGCCAGCGGTCGCGGGGCGAAGCCACTGTAGCTGACTGCCACGCCAGTTCGCCGCCCGCCATAGTCCACGCCCACACTCGCCCCCACCTTCCTCGCCCCCCTTCCACTTCCCCTTCCCCCTCCGCCGTCCCCCCTCTCTTTCTCCCCCTCCGCCATCAGCTCCGCATTGCTCCGCGGAAGGGGCGTCGCCCCACCCGCCTGCTGCGCGTGCCGAGCAGGGGGGGGATCCGTGCGCTTGGCGCCCACGCGGGTCTCTGGCCCCGCCACGTCAGCTACAGGTTGTGCATCCGACGGTTCAGAAGCCTCCAGATTCGAGATTCTAAGAGCCGCCGTGACTGGCGCTGCTTTCCCAGAGGGGAGCGCTCCGCGACTTTCCGCGCGGATGGCTCCATCCCTCCGCCTACCGCGCGGGAGCGAAAGAGGCGGATGGTTCCGCCTGCCGCGCGCAGCTAGACAGGGCTCTACCCTCCCCGCAAGCCACGTGGCATGACCTTGGTGCGGTAGTGAACAGCGCGCGTGGGGGAAACGGGGAGCGGAAGATCCGGTGTGCGGGAGAGCGAGAGGGCTCGCTGTGGACAGCATAGTGCGGCGGTAGGGGCGAATGACCGAATGGGAGGGAAGGTGGACCAAGAAGCATAACAGGGAAGCATAACAGGGAAGCATAACAGGGAAGCATAACAGGGAAGCATAACAGGGAAGCATAACAGGGAAGCATAACAGGGAAGCATAACAGGGAAGCATAACAGGGAAGCATAACAGGGAAGCATAACAGGGAAGCATAACAGGGAAGCATAACAGGGAAGCATAACAGGGAAGCATAACAGGGAAGCATAACAGGGAAGCATAACAGGGAAGCATAACAGGGAAGCATAACAGGGTGGAGCCTGAGGCAGCAAAAGTGCTCGACTCCACTGGGGATCGAACCCAGAATCTCTGGTTCCGTAGACCAGCGTCTTATCCATTGGGCCATGGAGTCATGTCTGGAAGGTAGTATTTAATAAAACCTAAATATATTTAACCCTTCGCTTCATTGGGTGTCTTCACAACCATGTCAGTAGCCGCCATGTCGTCCACCCTTTCATCTCAAGCTCTCCGCACTCACCGCCCACTCGCCGTTCCGCTCCCCCATGTCTCTCCGCGCGCCCAGGTTCCGCCTCTTTTCCGCCATGGCGGACTCAGAGCGCTTCCTTCCCGCTCATGCCGCCTCTACCTCGGTAAAGTCACTCCGCACACAGTCACATTAAGCCGAAGGCAGAGGTTCCATCCCGGATTCGCGGCGGCCTCTGCGGCGGGCGCGGCGTGGGCGGGCGACCCCGCGGAGTGGCGGAATTCGGAAGCGGGAGCGGCGGAGGAAACGGCATTTGGGGAGGCCGCATTGGGGGACCCGGGGACGTATGACGTGGCAAGCAATGAGAGGTGGCTTTCTCAGGAGAAGGCGCGGCTGCTGACAGTGCAGGTGGGGACACGGGGGGAAGCGCGGAGGAGGGGGGGGGAGGGGAAGAAGGGGTGGGAAGCTGGGGGGGAGGGGATGTGAAGGGGATGGCAGGGCGGAAGAGAGGGGGCGGATATTGTTGGGAACGGGGGAAGGGGGGTCATGATGGGGGGGTGGTGGGCGGATAGAGGCTGGGGATGGGGATGGGGGAGGAAGCATCGTGGCAGTTGTGGCTTGATCCGCGTTTCACGCTCACCTGTTGTGCATGTGTGCTTCTGGATGTGTGAGGGTGTGCATGTGCATCCGTGTGCCTGTGCGTGAATGTGTGTCGGTCCGTCTGTGCGTGCATGCATGTGCATGTGCGTGTAAAGGGCGGCAAGGTGCCAGGAGGGCTGCTGCTGACACGTGGCAAGTGGCAGTGGGTGGAGAGAGGCCCCTCGCTCTACCGACTCGTGGGGCACATGAGGTGAGGTGAGGTGAGGTGAGGTGAGGTGAGGTGAGGTGAGGGGGGGTGAGGTGAGCGCACTGGTGGGTGGGAGACTCGGGGGGGTGAGGTGAGAGAAGGGGCGTGGGGGAGGGGAAGAGGGGAGGGACGATGGGGTAGGACCTGGTGGTAAGGGAGAGTGGGGAGGGGGGAGGAAAGGGGTGGAATGAGGAGGATGGGAGAAGCGGAGGGGGCATGCTTCGAGGAAGCGAGGGATGGGACGAGCTCTGCTGCGCATTGGGAGAGACTTGGGCTGAAGCCAGGCAGCCCGCAATAGACTTTGAGTCAAATCTTTGCCCCCCTCCCCTCTCCCCTTTCCTTGTCCCAGCTTCCACAACACCTCGAGCAAGCAGGAGATATTCATTCCGCAAGTGACGGCGGGCGTGGTGCTGCTCTCCTCGCACTCCATCAATGCCATTCGCACCCGTGTCACTGTGAGTCCGTCCTTCCCCTCACACACTCACTCCCACTCTCCCACCCACCCATCTCCATCCCCTTCTTCGCAAGTGAAGGCGGGCGCGGTGCTGCTCTCCGCGCACGCCATCCACGCCATCCATGGCATCCGCACCCGTGTCACTGTCAGTACCTCCTCCCTCGCACTCTCAACTCACACTCTCTTACCCTTCCGCTCTCGCGCCCACCATCCTTCTTCCACCTCCTCCTCCTCTCAGTCTGTTCCCCCCCCCCCTCTCTCCCCATAGATTTGGTTCAGTTCATCTTGCAGGGTGTTCATCAAAAACACCCTGCTAAATTTGGTTAGGTTCATCTTTTCCCTTCATACCGATTCACCTGATTCCCTCTTCCTCCCGCCCCTTCAGATCGCTCCACGCCATCCGGGCGGCAAGCCCGCCGCCCGGGCGGACGGGTACTGGGCGGGGTACATCACACGGGCGAGCGAGAGCACAGCGATGGAGGTCACTGTTGAGATCCGGGCGGACTCAGGGGAGGCAGCACTTGCTCACCTCAAGGTGATGGCTACAGAGGAGCAGTACAGTGCACTCAGCAGGGCAGCAGAGGCGTGAGCGTCGTTGCGTTGCTCTCTGACCCCCGGTGCCCTACGGCCCAGTCATCACGCGGCCTGCATTCGGCCGTGGATCGGCAGCCTGTAGTTGCCATTTCTGCATGCATCATGCCTGCCTGCAGTCACCTCTCTCGCCGTCGTCCACCCTTCCCTTACTCTGTCTCCTTGTCTCTGCCGCTCACATCGCTCCATGCCATCAATCTCTCCAACAATCTCCCGCTCTGCCACTCTGCATCGCACCCACCACGCTGCACCCCATCCCCCCAACCAGGCCGCACTTCACGGCGTGCGGTGCCACGTCACAGCCGCACCAGGCCGCATGGCAGCCCTTTCTTCCCTCCGCCTCACCCCCCACTCACTCACCCACCCATGCTCCCCCCCATTCCGTCACCCGCACCACGTGGCCAGGCCGGGCGTGCACTATACAGCGTATGGGCCACACGGCAGCCTGCCCAAGGGTCAAGGTGACTTTTGGATCCACCCAACTGCCCCCTGCTGCTCTCTCTTACCCTCATCACGAGGCGGCCGGGGTGCGTACCGGCCACACGGCAGCCCTTTCGTCCCTCCTCCCAACTTCCCCGACTCTCCAAACTCCCCTCATTGCGCCACCCCTTTTCCGTCATCCCCATCATTACGCGGCCAGGTTCGACGTGCCCTATGTGGCGTATGGGCCTCACGGCAGCCTGCCCAAGGGTCAAGGTGACCCTTGGTTCGACCCAAATGCCTTCTCCTCTCTCTCTCTCTCACCCCCATCACCAGGCAGCACGGCTGGACGTGCACTATATCGCGTATGGGCCGCACGGCAGCCTGCCCAAGGCTCAGCACGTCGTGCTGCCGCTCTCCTTCCCGCCCACTCCTTCTCTTTCAACCGCTCTCGCCCCTGCCTGGCGCAGGTGTGCTCTTAGCCCTTTTTAAAGCCCGCATTTCATATTTCCTAAGGTAATACGCTTGGTACTAGGTAACGTAGCTGCTCTTTGTGCGAGGGCTCGCAAGTGAGTGCGAGAGTGGATATCCAACCTCGGCAAAGTGAACCCGAGGACGCGTTCTCAGTAAGCAAGGTTTCGGAACCTGGGCTGGTCACACGGAATCAGCACCTGAAAGTGACCCACGGAACAAAATTTCGGCCCAAACTCAACACTGGAATTGCAACTGCTTGCGAAACTTTGAGAACCCAACCCCCATGATCCGCGCCCTCAACGTTTCGTGGGCTCAAACCAAAGGTAACACGGGTCCGCAGAAATACGAGACTCCAAGCCTCATCAAAGTTGGACCTTCCACGATTTCCAAACTTGTCGCAACCCTCGCCCACTCTCTTTCAACGTTTGGCCCCTCGCCCCCCAATCAGACCCTCCCACCAAAGGCAATACCGTTGGTCGGTAGGACATATGAGATGCGGCTTTAAAAGAGAAAATCTGACATCTGAACTTCGCACTAGGAGTTTGCACTTTGTTCAGCACTTTCTAGTGTTGATCATACATGTGTGCATGCACACGCCCATACACGTACACACGCCCCAGTGCATCACCGTCCGTGCAGCTGGTTTCGTCCAGCTCTTCCCTTCCCCAGTCTGCACCTTCCCTTCCCCAATCTGCATCTTCCTCTGTCCCATACCATCGCCATTCTCCCCACCTCACAGCATAGCCCCGGGCATATCGGTGCTGGCCGTGCCAACGCACCTGCTGTGCCACTTGGACGACCCCTTGCTCGTGCTCAAGTGGTGAGGCCCTCGTCTGATGTTTGTAGCAGTTGCGAGGCTGTCCAATGGTCACGCACTCCTGGACGAACTCATGGTTGGCCTTGGGTGCTTTCTACTAGTGCTTTTTCGGCCCAGTCTAGCCTGCACCAGTAAAATGCTTAAAATTACACGCATTGAGCATGCACTGTTCCTGATGCACCGTGGGTGAGGTGCTTGTTCGAACTGCACTGTGGATCTCATCCCGCCTCCCCACAACCACACACTCATGTCTCACATCTCATATCCCACCGCATCTCACCCATCAGGTATGCAGCGCCCTACCTGCAGCCGGGTGACATTGTGACAGTTGGCGAGACGCCATTGGCCATCATGCAGGGTCGCTTCCGCCACCCCGACTCCGTGCGACCCGGCGCTGTGGCTCGCTGGGCCTGCCGCCCCTTCCACCCAACGTCCTCTCTCGCCACCGCGTGCGGCATGCAGGTATGGGGCTCTGCGTGTAATTCCCTCGCAGTGGCATGCGAGGTATGGAGGTATGGAGGTGTGGAGTTGTGGAGGTATGGAGGTATGGAGGTATGGAGGTGTGGAGGTATGGAGGTGTGGAGGTGTGGAGGCATGGAGGTGTGGAGGTATGGAGGTGTGGAGGTATGGAGGTGTGGAGGTGTGGAGGTATGGAGGTATGGAGGTATGGAGGTGTGGAGGTGTGGAGGTATGGAGGTGTGGAGGTATGGAGGTGTGGAGGTGTGGAGGCATGGAGGTGTGGAGGCATGGAGGTGTGGAGGTATGGAGGTGTGGAGGTATGGAGGTGTGGAGGTATGGAGGTGTGGAGGTATGGAGGTATGGAGGTGTGGAGGTGTGGAGGTATGGAGGTATGGAGGTATGGAGGTATGGAGGTGTGGAGGTGTGGAGGTGTGGAGGTATGGAGGTCTGGAGGTAAGGAGGTGTGGAGGTATGGAGGTGTGGAGTTGTGGAGGTGTGGAGGTATGGAGGTGTGGAGGTATGGAGGTGTGGAGGTATGGAGGTGTGGAGGTGTGGAGGTATGGAGGTGTGGAGGTATGGAGGTGTGGAGGTATGGAGT